AAAGAGGAGGAGGCAGGGAATATCTTCCCTACTTGTTTGCCAAATGGAATGAAAATAGTTCTTTTCATGTGACCATGGATTTTAAGATGCACATTAGTACTACCGCTGAATGTTACTGTTTCTTGCTCTCTGTTTATACTTTCTCAAAGATGTTGCTGAACAAAGAAATATTTGTATAGAGTACTTACTACCTGTGCTGGGCAAGAGATGTAATTTGGATTTGAGGGGGTTGAAAACGTTGAAGTGTTTTTTTTGTCTGCAGGGACAGCAGAGATTAAAGTCATGCTGGTACTTGGTTGATCAGCTGGGCTTTCCTCTGGCCTTCACTTTTTTTTCGCCTGGTACCCATATGCAATCTGAAATGTAGAGGACTGTTCAGGAGATAAACATCAACTGAAAACTATTTGAGAGGGAAAAGAGACAAAAAATAGAAATGGATGTTAGTTGTTCTTAGCGTTCAGGTAGTGCTAAATTATAAGTAGCTAAACCACTTTGTCATTTTAAGTTCTATAACGTCTTGCAGCAGGATGTAAGATGCACCCAGCAGGTTTGGGCTGTGTTGGTTCCAGCCCTGTCTCGCACTTGCGTGGGTGAGGATGCTGATTTTGATGAAAAGAAGTCACTCCTTCTTGTGGGGATGATTCTCAGCAGGGTCATCGTCTGTACTGGGTCCCTCTGTGGTTCTAAATCGGAATGGTAGCACAAGGCAGAGAGGTGGGAATGTGTTACAGAGGACAGGAATAGAGTGGAACTGCAGCAACCTGGATTTGGACCTGCTGTAGCTGTTGAGGGATTATGTTCCTCAGGATTCTTTGTAGTGCCTTCAAAAGACTCCAAGAGCAGGTGGAAAGAATAGCTGCTTTTGTCCCAGTCCTACATCTGCAGTCATCTGCTGTGATAACTGCAAACCAAGGTTATCTGTATTCCTAATCCGAACTTTGAATTCAGCAGCCTTGCAGCTGAATGTCCCGTTCCTGTGAGAAGCAACATGAACTGAAGAGGAAAACAAAACGATACTGATCTGTGCAGCCCCCTTAGCATGCTTTTTTGTGTGATATTGTTTAAACCAGAAAATTGTGAAACTATGATTTCAGTCATTTGGTGTGATTATGATACGTGATATGTTAATGCAACATAGCAGTATTTTCCTTCCTGATTACTTTTGGACAAGTTGTATAAGTAATGGAACACTTAGTGTAAATACAGTAAATGATATTCTCCAGGGGAATGGAGCTTGTTCTCAGTCCTAGAATGATGAGATTTGTCTTGTTTATTGGGACAAAACTAGATGTTTCCATGGAATAATGTACTGGAAAAAAGATGAACACAAATCCAATGCAGACACACAACAATCATTTTTAAAGGATGATGTGACTCAAAGGATACAGAAGGATAGTAAGTCTGTAACATGTTGCGAGTCCCTGGCACATAAGTTTAGCAGTTATAATTCTTTATTAAGTGGGTAGATGTCCTGCAACTAGCAGCGAAGCAGCTCACCTGCATTTGATTGTGTCAGTGGTACACTTGGAACCAGAAGTTGTCACATTCCGCATTTCAGTCATGTTACACCACCTCCTGTGCTAGGAGGGGGAGAGTCACAAACAACCGCTGTCCTACTTTGGTAGAGAAATGCTAAAATTAAGAAAAGTAGCAGAAGTGTTGTCTGAAGAGCTCCCTCCCACGAAGAAGTAGTTAAAAAATATTGCAGAAGGTTGTTGACAAAACGTGGAAGGCAAATATTGTACTCTTATCATTGAGCAATGTGGGTACATGTAATAACAAATCTTGTTTCTTTTCCACCTGCTCTTAAAGATTATGACTGTGTGGATGATAGCTTCTCCCCTTCGGTTGACACATGTTGCATTGTCTACTTCAAATGTTGTATTTTGTACTGCTCTAATATTTAACCTAGCTAATACTCTGTACCTTTTTCCTCCTTCTACAGTGAGAAGGTCAACAAAGGGATTGGTATCGAAAATATCCACTATTTAAATGATGGCCTTTGGCACATGAAGACATACAAGTGAAACAAAAGGAACTGTGTTACTCCAAAGGAATGCACTTAGATTAAATGTGGACTGCTTTGTAATTCCTTGTTTTTAATGTGACTGAATGTACAAATTATTTTGTTCTGTGGCTATGCTAAATAAATCAAGTGAATGCGAAAGTACTGTTAGGCTACAATAGTTTTCTAGATTTCTTTTTATTACAGTTCTTTTGTTTTGTCTTAAACTCAAGTCTTCAGTGACTGAAGATATCTGATGGAAAGATCCTGCATGGACTGTGAGTAGACTATTTCAAACAAAAAGGAGGAAAAAGCCACGAAATGTTTACATTTTTATGCTCTTCTAAAAGAGTAATATAAAGCGTATGTGAAATATAATTAATACGGTTTATAAAACCTCTGAAACATTTCAGATTTTTTTCTTCTGATTAACATCTTGTTAGTCTACCTGTTTCTGGAATGTGGAGAAATCAGGTTTTTTGACATTTATTTTTTAACTTAATTTATTAACAGCATTAACTTCAGTATTTTACTTAAGGATTTTCTCTTTTTAATATGCATTTATCTGTATAGGATTTACGAACTTAAACTGGTATGTGGACTAGAAATTCCTTTGTGCTAGTTCATATCTGAAGAATATATATACATATATATATTCAAATTTCTACCTGCCAACACTGTTTGATATCGCTCTCCTTATAGTGGAGTTTATAGTAGTGATGGGCATACTCCAAATGGAGTGCGTGCCACCTTGGTGCCTGATGCTCTACTCCCCGTTTGCCGCCTTATTTTAGGAGCAGAAACAAAATCACTGTTTAACAAAGGCATGATAGCAAAAACACAGTTATCAGTGTAGCCAGGAGCAGCTTCTTCAGGTGGAACTTCAGAAGAGATCTCAGCTTGTGCACACTGCCACGTCTATGTACATCTGCAGAGCGGGTTAAAGAGCACTGTGTATTTGTCTGGATAATCTCACTCTGTTCAGCGACTGCATACCCAAAGCTATGCCTATGGAAAACAGCCTGTGCCATGGAATCATTTAATAAACTAAGGAAACTTCAAGGTCTACCACTCATAACTCTGTCTCTGGAAGCATTTATTAATATTTCAAGTCTCTGTTCTAACACTCGTATTTTATAATGGCAGAATGCAATTTTGTATGCAAGTGCCTTGTCTCGGTGCTGTTCTGCATGTTTGGTTTCCCCGCCCTAGGGCCTTTACAGAAGATAGTGGCAGAGGTGTTCTCCATCCGATTGTAAAGTCAAATTAAGACATGGGAGATGGAATGTGTTACCTAATACGTGCTACTTGTAAATAATTTTAGCAGAGAAATTTAAAAGATTGTACTTTTGAACAAAATGACAGGGTAAACCTGAAGCTGTTTATTAGTGTCGGAAGACAAAAATTAAGATGATCATTACAGCAGTGGTGCAGAAAAAAGTTTGGTCAAACCTCAGACCGTCCCTTCAGAATGCTAACGGACATTTTTATGCATCTTGAAGACGCTGCTATAAATGTACTAATTTCTTGTTAGTGCTATGGGGAATCAGTTTGTGCTTCAGTGGTTCTTCTTGGCATAAAATGAGCTGGTCTTGAGTTCTGTGGCTTGCTTTTTCCCCTTCCATCTTGCCTCCTGTTGTGTTAAGAGTACCTCTCAAATCTGTGATAAATGAGATTTATTCTGAATTGTTAACTCCCATTTTTTCCTCGACTTGCCCTATGAGTGCTGTTGTTGCAGTGGGGTCAGAACTGTCTTTAATATCAGAAACACTACTGAAATCAAAGTTTTACTTTCTTCCTCTGGCTTTGTCAGAGTATTCCCAACTGTGGCTCTAACCTTTTAAAAATGATTCTGTGAGAAGATACAAGTTAAATCATGCTTAAATTAATTTCTGTACCAGTTTAGCAAAACGTCGTCAAAAATACTAACTTAAGTTTTACCTAGGTTTTGGCAGCAATCAGGTCCATGTTTGTCTTGCTGTGTCAGCTGAGCTCTGACTGACACGGAGGAGGAGAACGTGCAAAAGGTGAGACAAGGTGCACCTTCCGAAACAGCTGAGCTGCGGTAGCTTGCTTGGGGGTCCGAGCGGTTGTCTTGCCATTCTTGTCAAAAACGAAGGGCCTGATGCTTAAAACAGATGTGGATATTCTCACAGCTCTGAAGCAGCTGTTTCACTTCCCCACCTGCCTCCTTGCAGCTCAGGATAGGATGAGATATTACAAATGGTCTGTTAAAGAAAGGTGAGAGAACATACTATCTTCTCAAGTCTTTTATGGATATTGTAGTACCAACAAGGCCTATGATAGTCCTAGATGTAGCAGATAGATGTAGTACCTTCCTTAAGTCTTGAAACGTCCAGGCCAGGTCAGTGAATTCTAAATGGAGTAAATAGTGAAGTGCTGTTTGTTCCCACTTGCTGTGACTGGAAGGGAGTGTGACCTGGTAACTGGTTTCAAGTGCACTCAATTGTAAAAAAAAAAAACAAAAAAAACCCCAAAACAAACCCCCAAAAAACACCAACCAAACCAAAACCAAACACCACAACCCCCCACAACAACAAAACCAAAAATCACCCCCCCAACCCCAGTACTGGGGACTTCTGCATATTGCTTTGTTGTGCATGCAACCTGTTTTGCATAATATTCAAAGAAAGGTTGGGAGTGCAAGCATGTGTTGCTCTTCCTGTGTCTTGATGTTAAAAATACCTGTAAATGTATCTACACCACGTTTGTATTGACAGTTAACTGACTCCTTCCTTGTAAATACTATTAGCACCGCTAACAGGAACAAAAATAATACTGAACCTTTATTCTAATAAGCTTATCTATGAAGTGAAATTTTAAATGAGCAATTGGGCTGGTGCTAACAGGCTACCTGACCATGTTAATAGTTATTCAAACATAGTTATCTCTTTCCTTTGTCTGCTTAAAAACAGCAGTCCAAAGATCACTTAATATCACTCTGCTGCGACTTCCTAACAGATCTTGTCAGCTTGCTTCCTGCTAATTCCCTCCTGGGCTAGGAGGCTGCACGTAAAGCGATAGGTGCTGCGTGAACAGCACAGCTCAAGCTTTTGTGTGGTTAAGTGTAAAGGAAATAGCTTAAAGTTAGTCTTTGAGACTGAATCTGTAGTCAGTTTTATTGGTACATCTTAGAAAGATAGAAAGACATTCTAGAAATGCCTGGAAGAATTGAAAGAATCAGTGTCTTGCAAAAATATATTTGTAACAGTAGACTAAAGTTCATTTGAGTTTTCATTAATAAATATTTACATGTACAAACCCCCCATATAAACTTAATTTCCTTTTATCATAAACATTAACTTCTTTATCATTTCATTCCAGCACTGTCAAAAGCCAGAAGCATTTCTGTATAAAAGATGTAGAAAAAAAGTCCTCCTTCCACTTTTAAAATTAAGAGCTTTACCAAACCTCAATGTGCAAAAAAAATCGTACACCAGTACCACCAGATACAAAAATCAAATCTGTCAGTACAAACGCATGTCATGAAAAGAGCTGACTCCGTGGTTCCGGGTCTTCTCTGAAGAGACATCAGTCGTTGTCTGAGCCTTCAGGCGGAAGGAAGACGAGTGCATCGTTGTACGTGTGGCCGTAGGGTCTCAGCCTGTAAACGCCGTACATCATCACGTGCATGTGGTTGGGGGCCAGTCCGCTGAACGTGATGGCCATGTCGGAGCAGCAGCCGTCCACCACCTCCTCAGGGTGAGTAGACATTGCTTCCTTAATCAGAGCACCGACCGATTTAGTGTTAAAGACGTCTTTTCCTTCTGAATCTTCCGCGTTTTCGGCAAACACTCCAGTGTACTTCAGGCAGAGTGCTAGCTGTTTATCCTCAGCAAGTTTCCAAATCATACCTCCCTGCTCCGGACACTTGTCAGAGTCTTCAAAAACACGGGCGAGTCGTCTTAGTGATTCAATGCTTAAGACGATTCCTCCCTCACCATCTACATACTCCAGGTCACCAGATTTCACAGTATGGCCTATATAAAAAGGCTGCGAGGGGTCTTTTTTCAGTAAGAAATACTTGAGATTTTCAATAATTGCAAACGTTGTTGGATATGCAAGGAAGAACCAGTTGAATTGATCTTTATAGCGTTCATACGTTATCTTGTACGCTTTTCTCATCATCACCCACATATCATTTGTGTTGAGGGCTACGGACTCAAACACTTTGACGTTTTCAGAGCTGTAGAATTCCACCTTGTCGCAGTGCTTGCTCCACGTCTCTTTCACCGCAGCCCAGTGCCCCAGATCTTTCGGTTTCACAAGGATGATACAATAAACGCGGATACTTTTACTAAGCTCCATCCGTTCGCCTTCCGACAGGTTTAAGACATCTTCTTTGTTGGGAGCCTGGATGTGATGGTGCTCGTGCTGATGTGCTTTAGTCCCGTGGCCCACCTTCGCGTGTCCCAGGAGTGTCACCAGCATGCAGAAGGCTCCTCCCAGCACCACGCCCTTGACGAAGGAGCTGCTTTCAGAAATCATTTTTCCTGGAAAGCAGACACTCTGTAAGAACTCGCAGGAAGAAGTTCACGGCTGCAGATTCCGCACGGTTTCAACGC